TGACAAGACAAGGGCGGTGAAGACCATAGGTGGCGAGGAGGGTGGTGACGAGACAAGAGGTGGCGGAGGTCAGGGCTGCTGGAGGAGGCGCCTTGTCGCGGGTGAGGACGACGAAGGTGAAGAAGCCGGCGTTCAAGCCCGGCGACATCACCGCCTGGTTGAGCGCGACCTTGCCCACGAGCTGCGCCGTCGAGCTCGCCGCGAGCGGGAAGAGGCGAGCGAGGAGCCGGAACCAAAAGAAGAGCATCAAGCCGCTCACGCTCGCGCCCCAGGCGGAGATCCACGCCGCACGAGAGACGTCCCACGAGCCGCGCCGCTCGACGGCTTGCGCCATCCCGTCGGCGAGCACCGAGAGGCTGGCGGCCGACAGCACGTTTGTCGTGATGGGCGCCGCCGCGAGCGCGGACTGGTAGGCCCCGACGAGCGGCGGCAGCGTGAGCGCTGCTCCGCCGCGGAGGCGGTGTGCCGCGGCGAGGCCGTGACAGGAGGCGAGCGGGAGGAGGTGGAGGAGGCCAAGCAGCATGGGAGTCCCCCTGTGACTCGCGCAGCAAAGAGCCGATGTGAAAGAGGCGCTCCACGTTTTTCTTGTTTCATCGCGTCGGTGTGCGGTGTGTGTGACCCTCGAGCCACCCGACCGACCCCCCCCCTCGGTCTGCGCTCCGACCGACCTTGCCCGCCAAAAGAAAGCCAATTCTTGACTTGGGCCTTCTCTCGAGGTCTCGAGATACACAGAGCGGCCAACCGGTCTTCCGCGGCCGTCGACCGGACCCCCCTGCGGTCGGTCGGTCTGCGCTGGGCGCTCGAACCGCGAACTCGCCTGTTCACCTAACGTGGTTTTCTTGTTTCAGCCATCGCTTTCCATCGAGCCATCGAGTGGGCCGCTCAGCGCCGCCGCCAGCCACGCACGAGCGCTTCATCAAGACTCCACCGCCACCTCCCCCTCCAGCCGCGCCCCCCCTGCCGCCCTCTCAGGCAGCCGCCATGAGCCTCGAGGCCACCATCGCGCAAAAGACGGCTGGCACAGACGCGAGCGAGGTGCTGGAGCTGGTGCTGGATGGTGTCAAAGCGAGCAAGGTGACGGGCCTGAACCAATTCACCAAGCTCAAGGTGCTGCAGCTGAATGGGTGTGGGCTCACCTCGCTCGAGGAGTTCCCCACCCTTCCCAACCTGCAGCGGCTCGAGCTGGCAGACAACGCGCTCTCGGACGGGCTCGACCACCTGCAGGACGCGGCGCTCATGCATCTCAAGGTGCTCGTCCTGGCGGGAAACAAGTTTTCGTCGCTCCAGGGCCTCGAATCTCTGGCGCGTGCCCCACCCGCGCCCTTCTGCGGCCCTGCCTCTTGCGGCGTCTGCGCGCGGCGCCGAGTCGCTCCTGCGCGGGCGTGCCGTGGCCACGGCTGCGTCAGGAGGCCGGGGCGCGGCGCCGCGGATGGCCCGCCCAACGGGATGCCGGCCGCGCGCTCCCGATGCGGGCGGTGGAGCCGGCCGCTTCCGGGCGGCCTTCTGCAGACATGTCGCAGCCCTCGCGGCGGCGGCGCGGCGTTGGCGC